TGCTTGGTAATTGTACTTACCATAGGTGATGAGCAATGCTTGATGATTGTACTTACCATAGGTATTGAGCAATGCTTGATGATTGTACTTACCATAGGTCATGAGCAATGTTTGATGATTGTACTTACCATAGGTGATGAGCAATGCTTGATGATTGTATTTACCATAGGTGATGAGCAATGCTTGACGATTGTACTTACCATAGGTGATGAGCAATGTTTGATGATTGTACTTACCTTAGGTGATGAGCAATGCTTGACGATTGTACTTACCATAGGTGATGAGCAATGCTTGATGATTGTACTTACCATAGGTGATGAGCAATGCTTGATGATTGTACTTACCATAGGTGATGAGCAATGCTTGATGATTGTACTTTCCATAGGTGATGAGCAATGCTTGATGATTGTACTTACCATAGGTGATGAGCAATGCTTGGCAATAGTACTTACCATAGGTGATGAGCAATGCTTGGTAATTGTATTTACCATAGGTGATGAGCAATGCTTGACGATTGTACTTACCATAGGTGATGAGCAATGCTTGATGATTGTACTTACCATAGGTGATGATCAATGCTTGATGATTGTACTTACCATAGGTGATGAGCAATGCTTGATGATTGTACTCACCTTAGGTGATGAGCAATGCTTGACGGTTGTTGTACTTACCATTGGTGATGAGCAATGCTTGACGGTTGTTATACTTACCATAGGTGATGAGCAATGCTTGACGGTTGTTATACTTACCATAGGTGATGAGCAATGCTTGACGGTTGTTGTACTTACCATTGGTGATGAGCAATGCTTGACCATTGTACTTACCATAGGTGATGAGCAATGCTTGACGGTTGTTGTACTTACCATAGGTGATGAGCAATGCTTGACTATTGTACTTACCATAGGTGATGAGCACTGCTTGACGGTTGTTGTACTTATCATAGGTGATGAGCAATGCTTGACGGTTGTTATACTTACCATAGGTGATGAGCAATGCTTGACGGTTGTTGTACTTACCATTGGCAATTGTACTTACCATAGGTGATGAACAATGCCTGATGATTGTATACTTACCATAGGTGATGAGCAATGCTTGATGATTGTACTTACCATAGGTGATGAGCAATGCTTGATGATTGTACTTACCATAGGTGATGAGCAATGCTTGATGATTGTACTTACCATAGGTGATGAGCAGTGCTTGATGATTGTACTTATCATAGGTCATGAGCAATGTTTAATGATTGTACTTACCATAGGTGATGAGCAATGCCTGATGATTGTACTTACCATAGGTGATGAGCAATGCTTGACGGCTGTTGTACTTACCATAGGTGATGAGCAATGCTTGATGATTGTACTTACCATAGGTCATGAGCAATGTTTGATGATTGTACTTACCATAGGTGATGAGCAATGCTTGAGGATTGTGCTTACCATAGGTGATGAGCAATGCTTGATGATTGTACTTACAATAGGTGATGAGCAATGCTTGACGGCTGTTGTAATTACCATAGGCGATGAGCAATGCTTGGCGATTGTACTTACCAGAGGTGATGAACAATGACTGGTATTGGTTGTGCACTTATCCAAATCATCTTCTTGGCTGCATACCGTGCAATCAAATTCATGGGCAGCTACCCGTTCCACTGGGATGAGACAAAGAGAGAAATTCAGATACTCTTTGATAGTTACCATTTCCATTTCTGGGATTTTACTTTAATACAGGAACTGTTTGAAGACAGAAAGAGCATTTGCTATTCACCAAACATTTTTTATAAGGCCCTTTGGGAAAATGACAGAGGGGTAGTATTTCAAGTATTATCTCGGATAAAACATTTTCTTAAAGAATAAATATCTATCCTCCTCCCAACATAGGTTAGATGGGACCAGTTCTAATCCATACTCCAAAACCTAGCCCCCAAAGTGCGCCCTTGCTGCAGAGTCTGCGTAATACAGGTATGAAGAAACTACAGTCGAGCACCGTTGTGTCGAACTCTGATATAACTCGCTATCTCGGTTTTCTCGATATAACATCTCGGTCCCGGCAAAATCTTTCATAATTTATCATTATTAAAGCTCTTTTAACTCGATACGGATGTCACGATATTTCGGATATCTCGATATAATCTCAAGTAAAATTACCCTTTAAACTCGATATTTGCAAAGAAACTCGATATTCACCTACCTTTCAAGGGCAAGTATCCCTCTGAACTGAGGTTGTTTCCACACGTTTCTACACGGTGCGGCATCGATCAAAGGGATGCGGTAGTGTAAGCTAATTAGGGCTAATTGAGTTGAAGGTGTTACATGTTTGTTATTTAATTAGGATTAACTAAGAAGGAATTCATTAGGAAGTACTCACTGTTACGACTAAACACTACTGATAACGGATTATAGTTTCGAATCAAAACATACTGAAAAGCGTTTTGTTTTCGTTCATGGTGACACGTGATGATATGCCCTGATCTGATGTCTCGAAGTTCGGTTAACTCGATATTTTTTCTTGGTCCCATGAATATCGAGACAACGGTGCTCGACTGTATATGTACGTCGGGAGGGACTACAGTGACCGGCCGGGTGGTCAGATTTGTTTGACTGCGTGTCATGGAACCTCACAATTTCATTGTCTGTTTAGTCCAGACTAGATATTTACAAACCGAAATCAAGAGCTGTATTTGACTTATTTTAAACAGACACATCAATACTCTGAATACACAATACCATTTAGAATGTCATGTGTAAAACATGCTAGATTTGCGATTACACTTTCCCAGTAAAGTACAGATTCTGCTACTATTGTTGAGTCCGATCAGAGATTCGAACCCACACCCTCAGATTCAGGTACCTGGAAGCCGCGATGGCTGAGTGGATTAGACGGCTGATATTGTGTAATGGCGGTTAGGTGCCTCACATCTATGTTTGTGGTTTCAAATCCCTGGTGTGACTCAATCCAACAAAAGTACTAGAATCTGTACTTTACTAAGAAAATGTAATCCCAAATATAACATATGACACATCAATACCCTGTCTCTGAAACAACTGCACCACTCTAGGGCATTCTAGTGCCATTGTTTGGCACATAAACATTCTGATGCTATTCAGGTGTCGACCTGGAATCATGCTTATCTGAAAAATGGGTCACATGAAGGATTTCATGAGAACGTGTGCACGGTGACCATTGGTGACCATTCACGTGACCTTTTCATGCTGAGTTACATTTAGAATGCTTAGCTTATTCGTCTGAAGCATTTATTTCATTATCTGTGATGGGGCCAGAAGAAAAATTAGGCACTGTGTTACTAATTCCATGACCAACTTGTGGTACATGCGTTATTCTATTGTCTGGCTAAACTTGCTGCAAACGGCTAAAGGGAAGGTGTCAATCCTGTAATGTGTCACCATGTGCCCCATTGAGGCGACCTGGTTTTGTTGTTGGCGATCTACATGAATGGTCTCAGATTTATATTGTGCTTTTGGTATAAAATTTCAAGTTTGCTAGTCATTATACTGTTGGAGTCCCTGATGCGCATGGAACACTTTTACTTAACTCAAAGACAAACTAGTTCGTTAGTCATTAAATGTTTGGTGTGCTCTAGTCAAACTATAGATGCGGTAGTGTTTCTTGGGTTTGTTTGTTTGTTGTTTAACGCCACACTCTGCAATATTCCAGCTACATGGCGGCGGTTGGTAAAGAATCCAGTCTGGACCAGACAATCCAGTGATCAACCTCATGAGCATCCATCTACATAATTGGGATACGGTGACATGTGTCAACAGAGTCAGCGAGCCTGACCACCGGATCCCGTTAGTCACCTCTTACGACAAGCATGTGTTTCTGAAGACCAATTTTAACCCGGGTTTTCACGGATGATGCAGTAGTGAAGCTCGGAGTTCGGAAGTTATAAATTTTAACGCCTTTCCCGCTTTAGATTTCTTTATTCCTGTCCCAGCGACGCTATCCTAAGCGACGCATTTAATAACATACATGTTAATTATCCTTTTCCCTTTGTTGGTTTGGAAGTGACACGTAAATTATTTGATCGTTTTAACTCTTCTTGGAATAAAATCTATTTCAAATGTAAATGGTATAACGAGCAATGGAGGTAATATGATAAGAACTTATGCTACCTTTAAAGGTGAATATCATCCTGAATTTTATTTTTTAGCCATATGCCTCGCTCTTATAGACGTGCTTTAGCACTTTTTAGATGTGGTGTTGCTCCTTTAAGAGTTGAAACTGGACGTTATAATTGTACTCCTCTAAAGGAAAGAACATGTTTTTACTGTAAAGATTTTATTGAAGATGAACGTCATGTTTTACTGCACTGTCCATTTTATTCATTTGAAAGATATGTCCTTTTTAGTAAATGTGAGCAGCTTACTGTTAGTTCTATTTCATTTAGTGACCTTGATAAGATTAGATTTTTACTGTCCTATCCAAAAGTGTCTTTTAATACTGCCTTAACCTGCTTTTTTATCTTACGGCGGTGGCATGCCCTTTTCTACTCTTAACTTGATACTGTAAATATGTATTATATATCCTATATTCTTTTAGTTTTGTATTTTTATATGTTACATAGTCTCTCATAAGTCTGTAAAGATTGGCTCAACGTTTTATTATTTTGTTCTATGTACATATGTGTGAAGTTGAGGTGAATAAATAATATGTCTGTCTGTCTGGCCTTTATTGAGGCCAACCCTTATTCGTCCCAGACACATATGACGTTATCTCAATAATTAACAACAAACTCCTTCATCGTTTACCACGACACAAAGCTTCTAAACCGATTGTCTTGTCAGATAGTGGTTCCAGCTTTTTCGTCTAATGGCGTTTATATCGTAGCTCAGCTAATCAGCTTGCATGCGTGCAAACCGAAAGTAACATGTGTTGCCAACATGAAATAGCCCTGGCTGTTATATGGAACAACGTACGTATTGTAAAATACTCCACGTTGTCAACCATGGCTCGTATTTTCGTATTTTCTTAATACCACTTACCTGTCACAAGCACAAGCAAGACACAAGTTAGAGGTTTGACTCCCATCTCCGACCTGCAGGTAACCTACTGTGAGATAAATGTAGTCATTGATCCAAGATATACCTTGGCCTTCAATTTGGAATTCCAGCACAGAGATTGATAACAGTTAGCTATTCGCACTATTCAACCAGCACCACCATAGGGACGGGGACCCTTACTTTCACACAAGGTAGGTAGGGGAGGGACTTGGTTGGTTGGTTGGTTGTTTAACGCATGGTGACGGTCTGTGTACCTTCGAGTCTGGACCAGACAATCCAGTGATCATGAGCCTCGATCATCGCAATCAGGATCAAATAATGTGTATAAATCAAGTCAACGAGTCTGACCACTGCTGAAGACCAATTCTAACCCGGATCTTAACGAGTTGAGGGGATCGGGAGCAGCCAGTGCTTTAACACAATGTGGCGTTAGATCAGAGATACAGATTTCATTTATTTGAGGTATGAAATTGCAGAATGTTACTGATGCTTTATGGGTGGTGTGTATACTCAGCGATCTCACGCAGTACCCTGGCCATACGTAGAAGTTGTTTATGCAAAGGATGTTTGTCACTATATACACGAACCAAGTTGAGTAATGCTACGCATTTGGTAGCATTTAATTTGAAATCTTAAATAGACAAAAGATAAAAGCTCAGCCAACAAGACAATAAAACTTTCCTCAACTGTGAGTTTGCATAATTCTTCTATAGCTGTGATTTTATGTTCTCGTCAATTTGAAGCTTCAATAGGTATGTCCTTGTGCGTGTGCGCGCGTGTGTGCGTCTCTCTCTCTCTCTCTCTCTCTCTCTCTCTCTCTCTCTCTCTCTCTCTCTCTCTCTCTCTCTCTCTCTCTCTCTCTCTCTCTCTCTCTGTGTGTGATTGCATAGTTAATTAAGTGTAAGCCCGTCACGCCAGGGCTCTGAATTAGATTTCATTGTTCTCCAGAATACATGAAGGATTACGTCGGGACCGTGAGTTCAGTCCTGTTTATACAGCAATCCGAGAAAGACAGAGTCCGAGTTTGACAGAGTGCACTGTATATATATATATTCCTTTCCTTCGCAATGTCAGTGAGTATTCATTTAAAGGAGTTGCAGCAGTCCACAAGGTAATCACTTGTGTTGTTAACTATATGTTAACTGACAGGGTGTATTACTTGTTTGTGAACCTTTTAAAAGCACTTGATATTCCCACTATTTGATAATGATTCACTAACACATGCAATTCATATTGTAGGAGTCGTACAATGGACTTGTATTTAAGCGAAATCTTTGTCGTTTTTATTTTCCTGTATGGTTTTATATCGTCATTATTGTATTTTATTCCAATGATCTCGTTCATCTGTGAATAGTATGTGACTGATCCAATTTTCCTGGGATTAGCTATCAGTGGTGTTAGTTGAAATGTATATCTATCTTCGGGTGTCTTACAGTTGTAAGATTTACTAATTGATTTGACAGGAACTTATAAAGATATATTCCACTCTTTCATAGCAATTCAACATGTGAAGATCCGGGTTTAGAAGATGTCCTCAACAACCCATGCTTGTTATAAGAGGTAACTAACGACTAGTAACGAGATTGGGTGATTATGTCATCGTATCCCAATTGTGTAGATCGGGGTACGATAACAAAGCAATCAGGTGGTGGTGTGTGGTCATGTGCATAGAGCCCAGGTCACAAATGAGTTGAAGGTGATTTGAAGGTCTCTGAGAGCCCGGTGACCATGTTTGGCAGCAAGATTCCTCAGAGTTTCTAGGACTTCAGTCCGGCCTCACAACGAAGCACACGTGACACATGTGGTCTCACCTAAGGCAATTGAGTTTATTCAAAATTTCCTTTGTTCACCCAGCCGAAAATGGGTACCCGATGGGATAGGCATATTGAGTCATGTTAACCTTCTAGCGCCTCACAGAGAGTTTGGGTTATCCGGGGCAATACTGTCTGTTATGGTGTATGCACCATGCCCTTGCAACGTGGAGTACGCACGCACGCACGCGCACGCACGCGCACGCACACGCACACACACACACACAGAGACAGCGCCGATATCCAGTACAACTGCGCAAAGGCGCTTTGTTTTTCCTCGATCATTGGATGTCCATCACAACGGCACATCGTATTTTTCAATCTCAACGCCCTGGGGATCATACAACTCTTGCTGCCTACTAGGCGCACCGAGTAAATGTGGCTTTTCCATCCGTACGAGGTACCCATTAACAGCTGGGTGGACTGGGACACATAGTCACAGTACTTTGTCCAAGTTTACTGCACGTTGCTGTACCCGCAACTGGGTGTTTGCACATGTTCATGTGGCCACCATCTGGTCATCTACCAACGGATTCGTGGGTTCTTTTAAGTGCACAGGGTTGTGTACTGTACACTAAGGGTTGTGACTACACTGAAAGAGTCTGCACACAAAGTTGACTCCAAGGTTTTTTTTATACCCGGTCACAGGTGGGCTCGATCCCGGCACCTCCAAGCTCGCTGGATTACTAGCCTGGCGCCTTAGACAGCTCGCCCACCGAGTAAACCTTGTGGACCTGCCAAACACAGCTATTTGGCACTTTGCATGATGAACATAAAAGGACCAAATCTAACAAATAATTCCAATGGGGACGTGGGGTTGCCATTTCCATTTATTCAGTGTTGTTTGAAAACAAGGATTTATAGTTCTAACGATATTTTTATTGAGTTTCTGACATTGACGGAATTCCATCATGGTTTGAACAGAACATTTGTCTCAGGAATGATCTTGGTGTTGCAGTTGTCGCCGACACAACAGAAGTGACATGCCAGATCCAAGACATTGTTGGCAGGGCTGAACTCCGTACACACGCTCTTATCTGACGTTTCGGCATACCATTTCCGCAGACAATCCCGATGATTAACACACCTGAAAACATTGTATATGTATTTCCCCTAAGATGTTTATAAAATATATGACTATATCATTGTGACGTAATTTTTTCAAAAACACTTCCACTCGATCGTTCAGAATGTGAAAAGATCTCAATCAGTCCCAGTAGCAAAGTTGGACGCCGAGAACCTCCTGACAACACATTTAACACCAACATCCTTGTAACCATTTGGACGCCGAGTATGGCTGGCCATCCTGAGAGTTTTAAGGTGTTCTTTGCTGCCTTACACTGCAGCACATTTTGTGCCACCTTGAACAAGTGACTTTTATGCACATATTATTATTTGATTTCCGTACGCTATAACAAAATCAAGATTTCATTAGCTAAATAATAGTATTCACGCATGAATTACACCACAACGCGACCGTATTCATTCATGTATGATGAAGGTGCGTAGTGTTCTGCCATGGAGTACAGATGTTTGTTATGCAAATACAAACCTGCCCACAAATAACACATAACTTAAAGGACAAAAACATGGAATAGTCATAAAAAAACAAGCCTATGTTAATGCCCTTATCGTTTGGGGTGGTGGCGGGGTAGCCTAATGGTTAAGGTGTTCGTTCGTCACGCTGAAGACCCGGGTTCGGTTCCCTACATGGAGGGGTGGTGGTGGGTAGCCTAATGGTTAAAGTGTTCGTTCGTCACGCTGAAGACCCGGGTTCGGTTCCCTACATGGAGGGGTGGTGGTGGTAGCCTAATGGTTAAAGTGTTCGTTCGTCACGCTGAAGACCCGGGTTCGGTTCCCTACATGGAGGGTGGTGGGGGTAGCCTAATGGTTAAAGTGTTCGTTCGTCACGCTGAAGACCCGGGTTCGGTTCCCTACATGGAGGTGGTGGTGGGGTAGCCTAATGGTTAAAGTGTTCGTTCGTCACGCTGAAGACCCGGGTTCGGTTCCCCACATGGAGTGGTGGTGGGGTAGCCTAATGGTTAAAGTGTTCGTTCGTCACGCTGAAGACCCGGGTTCGGTTCCCCACATGGAGGGGTGGTGGGGTAGCCTAATGGTTAAAGTGTTCGTTCGTCACGCTGAAGACCCGGGTTCGGTTCCCTACATGGAGTGGTGGGGGGTAGCCTAATGGTTAAGGTGTTCGTTCGTCACGCTGAAGACCCGGGTTCGGTTCCCCACATGGAGTGGTGGTGGGGGTAGCCTAATGGTTAAGGTGTTCGTTCGTCACGCTGAAGACCGGGTTCGGTTCCCCACGGTTCCCTAAAGGTGTTCATAGAGACCCGGGAGTGGTGGTGGGGGTAGCCTAATGGTTAAGGTGTTCGTTCGTCACGCTGAAGACCCGGGTTCGGTTCCCCACATGGAGGGTGGTGGGGGTAGCCTAATGGTTAAGGTGTTCGTTCGTCACGCTGAAGACCCGGGTTCGGATCTCTTCATGGGTACTATGCGTGAAGCCCATTTCTGGTATCCCCGCCGTGATATTGCTGGAATATTGCTAAACACGGCGTAAAGCAATACTCGCTTTCTCACTCTCTTACCGTTTGAACACTTTTTCGGAGCCGTCTAACATCGTAAATAAGTCCGTCATGCAATAGTTCCCAGAAGGACACACTTCCGGTATTCCAAGGGTCAGCTCAGCAAGTGTGCAGGGTTCAAAGGTGGAGTAGTTCCCACACAGATAGCACGAACGTGCTGGAAGAACAGCGGTAATGGTCAGTACCATATCAACGAATTCCACATTCAGTTGGCATATTTTCCAAGTTTTCAAAACATGACTCATATTAACGAATTCCTCATTCAGAAATAATATTTTCCTAAAATAGAATTCATAATGAATATAACATTCCTGATTTCCCCCATAATGTCGATATTAAAAAATACAAAAAGTCAAAAGTAACAGACAAACTCATAGTTTTAACTTTTAACTTGAAAATAACAGGTTTACCCGGAGGAGTTGGAATTGCTGTTGTAGAGGGGTAAACTGGTCTTGCAGCTTTTGTCGTGGAGGGTGTCATTGATGAAGTAGTTGTCTGTGCTGAAGCAGATGCTGGCAACGTGGTGCTTAGATCTTGTAAATAATGAAAAGAATCTTAAGTCGTACTATAAAGTGTTTCGGAGCACACTGTGAGTGAGTGAGTGAGTTTAGCTTTACGCCGCACTCTGCAATATTCCAGCTATATGGCTGCCTTCTGTAAATAATCGAGTCTGGGCAAGACAATCCAGTGATCAACAACATGAGCATCGATCTAAGCAATTGGGATACGATGACATGTGTCAACCATATCAGCGAGCCTTACCACCCGATCCCGTTAGTCGCCTCTTATGACAAGCATGGGTCAATTCTAAACCGGATCTTCACGGGTCCAATATAATACAATTCAACAGCTACAGATTTGGTTTCTACGATCAGGTCCGACGACAGATATGTAGCCGTGACGCGTGTTAATTTCCATCAAGAGAGAGGTGGTTGTGTAGAAACTTTGCGCTTTCCATTGAAGCAAATTACTGTCTTAGGGCTGCCAAGCCACTGTCCATTATGCATGATATTATTATCATCATGCATGATACCTATGATTGGAGTCTTCTAAGGCACGTACACTCGCGTTTCCTTGTCAGAGGTGTTATATACGATCCCGTGAAGTACTGACTTACTTTATTTCAAAGTTAGTTGTGAGAACCGACTGACAAGATGTGTTACCCCAAACCCCCGCACCAAGAACCTGCTGACAACACATTAAACCCTAACACTGTTGTAAGCTAGAACGCACTTCAAACTCATTCAGCTCCAACACCCTTGTTACTCACAGTTACTGCCAACACGTTTAACATCAACACCCTTGCAACCTAGAGCCTACTGCCAACACGTTTAACATCAACACCCTTGCAACCTAGAGCCTACTGCCAACAGGTTTAACATCAACACCCTTGCAACCTAGAGCCTACTGCCAACACATTTAACATCAACACCCTTGCAACCTACAGCCTACTGCCAACACGTTCAACATCAACACCCTTGCAACCTAGAGCCTACTGCCAACACGTTCAACATCAACACCGTTGCAACCTAGAGCCTGCTGCCATCACGTTTAACATCAACACCCTTGCAACCTAGAGCCCACTGCCAACACGTTTAACATCAACACCCTTGCAGCCTACAGCCTACTGCCAACACGTTTAACATCAACACCCTTGCAACCTAGAGCCTACTGCCAACACGTTTAACATCAACACCCTTGCAGCCTACAGCCTACTGCCAACACGTTTAACATCAACACCCTTGCAGCCTACAGCCTACTGCCAACAGGTTTAACATCAACACCCTTGCAACCTAGAGCCTACTGCCAACACGTTTAACATCAACACCCTTGCAACCTACAGCCTACTGCCAACACGTTCAACATCAACACCCTTGCAACCTAGAGCCTACTGCCAACACGTTTAACATCAACACCGTTGCAACCTGGAGCCTTGCAACCTGCCATGCCAACGTTTAACATCAACACCCTTGCAACCTAGAGCCTACTGCCAACACGTTTAACATCAACACCCTTGCAGCCTACAGCCTACTGCCAACACGTTTAACATCAACACCCTTGCAACCTAGAGCCTACTGCCAACAGGTTTAACATCAACACCCTTGCAACCTAGAGCCTACTGCCAACACGTTTAACATCAACACCCTTGCAACCTACAGCCTACTGCCAACACGTTCAACATCAACACCCTTGCAACCTAGAGCCTACTGCCAACACGTTCAACATCAACACCGTTGCAACCTGGAGCCTGCTGCCATCACGTTTAACATCAACACCCTTGCAACCTAGAGCCCACTGCCAACACGTTTAACATCAACACCCTTGCAGCCTACAGCCTACTGCCAACACGTTAAACATCAACACCCTTGCAACCTAGAGCCTACTGCCAACACGTTTAACATCAACACCCTTGCAACCTAGAGCCTACTGCCAACACGTTTAACATCAACACCCTTGCAACCTAGAGCCTACTGCCAACACGTTTAACATCAACACCCTTGCAGCCTACAGCCTACTGCCAACACGTTTAACATCAACACCCTCGCAACCTGGAGCCTACTGCCAACACGTTCAACATCAACACCCTTGCAGCCTACAGCCTACTGCCAACACGTTCAACATCAACACCCTTGCAACCTAGAGCCTACTGCCAACACGTTCAACATCAACACCCTTGCAACCTAGAGCCTACTGCCAACACGTTTAACATCAACACCCTTGCAACCTATAGCCTACTGCCAACACGTTTAACATCAACACCCTCGCAACCTGGAGCCTACTGCCAACACGTTCAACATCAACACCCTTGCAGCCTACAGCCTACTGCCAACACGTTCAACATCAACACCCTTGCAACCTAGAGCCTACTGCCAACACGTTCAACATCAACACCCTTGCAACCTAGAGCCTACTGCCAACACGTTTAACATCAACACCCTTGCAACCTATAGCCTACTGCCAACACGTTTAACATCAACACCCTCGCAACCTGGAGCCTACTGCCAACACGTTCAACATCAACACCCTTGCAACCTGGAGCCTACTGCCAACACGTTCAACATCAACACCCTTGCAACCTAGAGCCCACTGCCAACACGTTAGAATGAAATCCCCAAACAAACGAAACAAAATCACTTGCATACCCGATGAAGTTGGAGTTGGAGTTCCTGATGTAGAAGGGTTAACTGGTCCGGCAGGAGTGGTGGATGGTGTCATTGAGGATGTGGTTGTCTGTGCTGGGGCAGATGTCGGCAACGTGGTGCTCAGATCTTGTAAATGATCACATGTAAAGATCGTAAGTTGTACTAACAAAGTGTATAGAGCCATACTTGAGACCAAATGCTAGCAGAGATTCTTAGTCAATACTTCTTCAAGACTTCACGGTTTGGTAGACACAGGGTTTCTCTACCACTTGGTTTGTTGTTCAACGCCGCACTCAGCATTATTCCAGCTATATGGCGGCGGTCTGTAAATAATCGAGTCTGGACCAGACAATCAAGTGATCAACAGCATGAGCATCGATCTACGCAATTGGGATATGATGACATGTGTCAACCTAGTCAGCGAGCCTGACCACCCGATCCCGTTAGTTTCCTCTTACGACAAGCATGGGTTGCTGAAGACCAATTCAATCCCGGATCTTCACGGGTTCTACCACTTGTGAGTACAAGCGACAGATGTATAGCAGTGACTCGTGTCTGTTCTTAATACAGCTGACGGATTGCTGGTGGTGATTGGTGCTTGCCTAACACTGACACAATGTGAAATGAGTGAGTGAGTGAATTTAGTTTTACGCCGCTTTAACAATATTCCAGCAATATCACGGCGGGGAACACCAGAAATGGGCTTCATACTTTTTACCCATGCGGGTCTTTGGCGTGACGAGACAACGCTTAAACCACTAGGCTACCCCACCACCCCGACACGCAATGAGGAGAGTAAAGGTCAAATACTTAAGGAGATGTATGCACTTAGCATAAGGGTTCGCGCACCCTCATATATACCAAGGGACATATCTAAGGCGTCAGTGGATGACTTATTAATTTTAGTCCTTCTTAACTGGTTGCAAAAAACTTTGGCCTCTAGTGGCATTGACCTTAAGGTTCTTCTGTGTACAGACACGTGTTTGGTGAACACCTGGTGTCACCTGAATGTTTCTCTTGTTCCTCGCAACTCACCAGACTATCAGACATGAAGCTTCACATGCTTTTCCCCCGCAGTGTTGGCACCCCAGTTAGTTCTAGACGCTAGGTATTGCCCAAAAGGCAAGTCTAAGGCAGTCTCTGGTGACAGATTCTGGAACATACTGACAACACCCAAAAGCAAACATAATAAAGACACTCCAAACCATAATGTCATGCATACCCGATGAAGTTTGAATTCCTGATGTAGAAGGTCGTGTAGCTGGTGTAGTAGAGGGTGTCGTTGGGTAAGTGGTTGTCTGTTGTACAGGAGCAGATGGTGGCAACGTAGTGCTTAGATCTTGTAAATGATAAAAAAGATCACATGTGTTATGTAACCAAAAGTAATAACAAAAGCTACTGACAACAACATGATCAATACATCGTCAGTGCTTCAGGGTTAGTTTGACAGTGGTTTTCTCCACCCCCCGAAAGTACATAGGATAGGCATGATGCTGACTTTACCCAGGTGATGAACCAGCGACCCAGTGACTTGTCTTATCCCAACGCTCTTGTTACCCACCTGAGTCAAAGGGAAGACATAAAATTGTGTACCGTACCATTTTAAACACATGTTTAACTTTAGTGTCATCACGGGCATTTAACAGTTCAACAAGCATGACCACAGACCCTGTAGGTCGCCCCACATGAGAACAATGGGTCGCTGGTCATAAAATCGAATTATAACCTTTGACAAAACTGTTGACCCACCTGAGACACAAGTACGACATGTTTTCTCACAAAGCTGCAGACCAAACTGTCTTTGGCATATGTCCGCAATACTGCTACAAACTGGACTGTGGTCAGAGCAAGTACTTGAACCCAAGGTCACTGAAATCCAATGATTACGTAAGTCAAATACAATGAACATGTAAACTACAGTATGGCTAGCAGTGTAAGCTGTCATTTGCCCGAACCCGTACAACCAGTCAAACACTCGAGTGAATGCATGTTGATATGCGTGCTATACTGTTTAATTCAACATCAAACCCAATTCCACCTCACCTGAAGACTATCAAATGTTGCTAAATTCGAGCAGTTTCTTGTGCGTTGGATTGAGTGATATGTTTTTAAAAGGTATTAACAGTGTCATCCATGACCTTTTACACATACTTTATTTCCATATGTATCCTCATGCATGTCTGTCTTAAAGAAGGTATGTAACATACATGTTTGTCCTAGAGTAGGCTTGCAACACACATGCAATTCCTAAAATAAGCATGCAACATGCATGTGAGTCCTCAGGTTAGTATGCAATATGCGTACAGATCCTCAAATGGGGATTCAACAGGTATACAGATCCTCAAATGAGCATGCAACAGACATACCAATCCTCAAATGAGGATGCACCATGCATACAGATCCTCAAATGAGCATGTAACATGCATATAGATCCTCAAATTGGGATGCAACAGGCATGCAGATCCTCAAATGAGGATGCAACAGGCATACAGATCCTCAAATGAGCATGTACCATGCATATAGATCCTCAAATCGGGATGCAACAGGCATGTAGATCCTCAAATGAGTATGCAACAGGCATACAGATCCTCAAATAAGGATGCAACAGGCATACACATCCTCAAATGACATACAACAGGCATACAGATCCTCAAATGAGCATACATCAGGCATGCAGATCCTCAAATGAGCATGCAACAGGCATGCAGATCCTCAAATGAGGATGCAACAGGCATACAGATCCTCAAATGAGCATGTACAATGCATATAGATCCTCAAATGAGGATGCAACAGGCATACAGATCCTCAAATGAGTATGCAACAGGCATACAGATCCTCAAATAAGGATGCAACAGGCATACAGATCCTCAAATGAGTATGCAACAGGCATACAGATCCACATATGAGCATGTACCATGCATATAGATCCTCAAATGAGGATGCAACAGGCATACAAATCCTCAAATGAGCATGCAACAGGCATACAGATCTTCATGGTAGGATTCAACAGGCATACAGATCGTCAAATGAGTATGCATCAGGCATACAGATCCTCAAATGAGTATGCAACAGGCATACAGATCCCAAAACAGGCATACAGATCCCGATGTAAACATACAATATATAATATTAATCTGAATGTTTGCAGTAACGGCTTGAAAGGATATCGTTAAAGGTAAAACAGACAAAAAATTGACAATTGAAACGTGTTGCAAAAGAAGGCTGAACACTTCGCTGCACATATCTAAATACCTTGTGACTTAAGAAAATACTGTTCGTCTCATCCTATCAGAAAGAATATAGGTTGTAAATGACATAAAAAAGCAGCATTAACCCGCACCTGATCTCGTTGTCGACGATGTTGTAGATTGGACGGTAGTGGTTGATGAGACAGTCGATGTTCCGTCTGTTGGGGTAGTTCCTAGTTGTATTGGGCAAGCACAGTATATATTATTACACAGCGAAGTTTTCATGTTGTCATGAGATGCATGTCATTCGTTATTGAGTGAAGTCGATAAATATGTTTTTGCAATATGGCTGCCGTTGCGGTAATCTTGAAACCGAAAGTCTAACCTTCGGAACCAACTGGGTTGTCTTCATTGATGCAATAAGCTTTTCATTGGATTGAAGCTATTTACCCCTACGAAGCACAAAATTGGCAATTTCTAATATGCTCTGGTGTCGATGCTTCGAAAATGCTGTGCACTATGAAGAGGGCAAATGAGTCCAGGCTACAGCAGTTTCTGGTTGAACATTCAGAATATCTGGGATCTACCTTTCATCATATTTGATGAAGATAATTTAGGAACTGTGATCTCAATGAAGTACTTATACAATTTACCTTTGCCTTGTCTTGTACAGAAGCCGCAGAACTAAGGGGCTACACGATCGCTGCAAACGTTTGGAACCAATGGGCAGTTATCCTCTCTTGCTGTACTGGTGAAAATTGGCAGTGAAGCTGTTGGCGTAACTGTATAAAATACAGTAGATTATATTACTATGTTTTAGAATACACCCAATCGTACGCGTCTTTGTCAGATCATGAGATTTTTTTTATCTTTTCGAAGGAAACACATTTACAGTCAAATACATTTACAGACAAACACATTTACAGTCAACACATTCACAGTCAAACACATTTACTGTCAAACATATTCATACACAAACACATTTACTGTCAACACATTCACAGTCACACACATTTACAGTCAACACATTCACAGTCAAACACATTTACAGTCAAACACATTCACAGTCAAACACATTCACAGTCAAACACATTCACAGTCAAACACATTCACAGTCAAACACATTTACAGTCAACACATTCACAGTCAAACACATTCAGAGTCAAACAAATTTACAGTCAAACACATTCACAGTCAAACACATTTACAGTCAAACACATTTACAGTCAAACACATTCACAGTCAAACACATTACAGTCAGTGAGCTCGAGTGAGTGAGTGAGTTTATTTTACGCAATATTCCAGCAATATCACGGTGGGGAACACCAGTAATGGTTTTCCCTCACATATTGTACCCATGTGGGGAATTGAACCCATGTACCCCACCGTACCTTACCTTTTTGACAAAGTCCGCAATGCTCCGGACAAATGTCACCAGCGAGGTTGCTTGAACAAACATTTGGAAGAGTGTGACACTGGTCTTCTTTCACGAGATTCATACATGACGGTAGAGTTGATGTCGGTGTAGTAGTAGTAGTTGTTGTAGAAGTAGTAGTTTGTGTAGTTTTTGATGATGTTGCATCTGCAAAGAAGGGAAAGATCTAAAATGTGACCTACATTTGATCGGAGGCAGTCACGCGCAGTTCCGTCGAAGTTGAATGTAAATACTTCGAGTTATCAAAAGCATGACACAACCGGAAATGATGACTGAAAAGTAACGTGCAATGACCAGACGTTTCACTTTGGGGCATTCACTTTGTACGTGCTTCTTCTTAAAGGCATATTTACCTCCACCCGAGACACCCACACACCCCTAGCCATAAATCATGAACGGTCCCTTAGCTGTATGTATGTTTTTACATGCTTCGGACATTACAACTTTAAGGAAATCGCGTCATATTAGACCATCGTTCAGTGCTACCCTAAACTTATACAATACAACTCTCGGTACATGCAGCACCTGTGACCACAATCCAAGCCTACATGAAAGAGATTGACTACATTTAGATAAATCCGACATATGAAACACGTGTCACTTTAGCTACGACCATCAAAATACTACAAGACATATTTAGTGGATTTGGCATTGGTCACTAGGGGTGGGTATTGCAGAGAATTTTCATATTGCGATATATTGCAATGCGAAAGCAGGTATTGCGATATGTATTGCAATATATTGCATAAAGTATTTTTAAACAAAAAAACTACTTATAATCGAGTTAATGCTTGATTCATAGAGCAAAAACACAGCAAAATCACTATGCTTGATTAAGCTTTAATAACAACTTTTCATCATGATAAAATAGAAATGTGAATAATATTTGGCACAAATGAAACAAGGAAATATCCGAAGATTTCCGAGTGTTACGAAGTTTTCCGAATGCAAGTCAAAATACCGGTTTTCGATCAGCGTATCGCAATACGTATCGTTTTCATGTCTGGACCGGTAAATACCGGTAAACCGGTTATATTGCGCATTCCCATTGGTCACACATCTCCTCCATGTGAGACACTCAAAGAAAAGACATACATGCGTACAGGTTAAGCAATATTTCTGAAATGTAAAATGAAAGTACCGAATATTTATAACTGTCTCGACCATATCGCGACATTACTCACTGCATGACGTTGTGTCCCGTCTGTGTGACTCAATACTCGGTATGTCAATCACTTATGGTATTAAAACCGATTCTTAACAGATTGCTTCCATGCAAGTGACTGAGTGAGTATTGTTTTACGCCGCTGTTTACAAATTTCCATCAATACCACGACGGGTAACACCAGAAATCGGCGTCACACATTGTTCCCATGTGGGAATCGAACGCGGATCTTCAGCGTGACGAGCGGAGGCTTTTAACCATTAGGCTACCTCACCGCCCCTCGCGTAGCTGATATGTTGCTCAGTGCGGTGAGTGAGTGAGTTTAGTTTTACGCCGCGTTCAGAAATATTCCAGCGAAATGGCGGCGGTCTGTAAATAACCGAGTCTGGACCAGACAATCCAGTGATCAAAAGCATGAACATCGATCTGGGCAATTGGGAACCAATGACATGTGTCAACCAATTAAGTCAGCGAGCCTGACCACCCGAACCCGTTAGTCGCCTCTTACGACAAGCATGGGTTACTGAAGATCAATATTCTAACCCGGACCTTCACGGGTATGCTCAGTGCGGGGTCAAACAACAAGCGATAGTATGAACGTAACATTTTACCACAAAGATTGCAAAATTTCTTGCAGACTATTGGTGCAAATGTGTTGGAACACACATTGTCCGTTGTTGCACAGTCAGGAATTAGATCCACACAATCGGGAGTGCCTGATGTTGTCGGTGGAGGCAGCGTCGACACAGAAGGCACACCTGAAAAAGTGTTTATAAACGTGTAACTTTCAGATTAACCAGGTTTCTTACTGTATCCCCCAAAACAAACCAGACGACGTAATGTCGTTTTAATATGCAATGAGAAAGTGATATGGAAAACAACGCCTTTCATTTTCAAACAAAACGTCAATGACAGACAATGAAAATGCTCATTCTCGACATGATCATCTGTCGACATACATGCATGTTCCATAGACGAAGAAAAGATTAACGATGTAAAGAATATTTTACAGATAACAGTCGGGAAAAAATGATACAAATTTTCAGAAAGAGGACTTTCATTTAGCGGTAGCCCTTTGAGCATGCATAAATGCGTGGAAACAGGCGCTTTATAAATTGCAATTATTATTTATATTATCTATAAAAGCAGCATAAATCCGGACTAAAACAAGTAGGACACATTCACGCACGCACGCACGCATACATTTCGTTAAATGTGAGGGACATTATTTCAACTTCACGCATCCATAAATCAAAATTATTTTAGAACATGATGCTAGTTAGTTTTGCAGAGTATGAAATTACCACAGACCATTTATGTATGTAGTATTATAGTGTTCACCTGTAATATGTAGCGCTTGATTGACACACTCGACATCGTCGCAACAAAACCTGCATTTACCGTAGTAAAACACAGTTCTGTAGTCCGGACACCAGGTGTCCATGTCGTGCAAGCAGTGCTGGAAATGTTCAACTCAGTTGTCATCAACATGATACCAGGACTGATAGACTGGCATGTAGAGCCAATATAGTTATCGTATTGAAATATGTATCTTACAGCAAATAAATACAAATGCAAATTAAAGAAATTCGGAACAATTCTTACCAGCAACGCTGGCAATCTAGACTTGCCCAGTTACTAGTATTCTACATTTGACCTAATTCAAAATATGGCAACGGATACAAATATATTTAAATATGGTAACGGATACAAATACACTTAAATATGGTAACGGATGCAAATACATTTAAATATGGTAACGGATACAAATATATTTAAATATGGTAACGGATACAAATACATTTAAATATGGTAACGGATGCAAATATATTTAAATATGGTAACGGATATGGTAAATACATACATTTAAATATGGTAACGGGCAAATAACGGATGCAAATACATTTAAATATGGTAACGGATACAAATACACTTAAATATGGTAACGGATGCAAATACATTTAAATATGGTAACGGATGCAAATACATTTAAATATGGCTACGGATGCAAATACATTTAAATATGGTAACGGATGCAAATACATTTAAATATGGTAACGGATGCAAATACATTTAAATATGGTAACGGATACAAATACATTTAAATATGGTAACGGATGCAAATACATTTAAATATGGTAACGGATGCAAATACATTTAAATATGGTAACGGATGCAAATACATTTAAATATGGTAACGGATGCAAATACATTTAAATATGGCTACGGATGCAAATACATTTAAATATGGCTACGGATGCAAATACATTTAAATATGGCTACGGATGCAAATACATTTAAATATGGTAACGGATGCAAATACATTTAAATATGGCTACGGATGCAAATACATTTAAATATGGCTACGGATGCAAATACATTTAAATATGGCTACGGATGCAAATACATTTAAATATGGCTACGGATGCAAATACATTTAAATATGGCTACGGATGCAAATACATTTAAATATGGTAACGGATGCAAATACATTTAAATATGGTAACGGATACAAATACATTTAAATATGACTACGGATGCAAATACATTTAAATATGGTAATGGATACAAATACATTTAAATATGGCTACGGATGCAAATACATTTAAATATGGTAATGGATACAGTTAATACATTTAATAATGGCTACGTTTAAAAATAATTCAAAAGAATGGTAACGGTAGATTTTTTTCCGAATATGGTATCGGTGAAAAGGTAATTCAAAGAATGGAAACGGTTAAAAACAATTCCAAATTTGATAACGGGTAAAAACAAATAATCAAACTATGGTAATGGCTGAAACTATCAAAATATGGTAACGGTTAAAAATAATTCAAAATATGGTAACGGTTGAAATATAATTCAATATAATTATGGTAACGGATAGTTTAAATGGAATGTCCCGCTCTCAGGGTTTGCAAGGTGTATATGATGTTGGTCAAGGAATGTATATGTGTACAGTGGCAGGTGAAGCTCGTTGAAGTTAACGTTTGCTATGTTTCGGGTCTTGGTAATTTTTTTGAATGATCAAACAACTCACGTGTTTACAAACTGAGAACGCATGTGTTATCTGTACAGATAACCTAGTTCCAGGTCAAACGCGACCATCCTGTCACTGACCGACATGAAACTTATCTTCCAAGTTCTCTGAACATTAAGTATCCAAAACAACATGTTCGGGTCATCATTGACGGCATGGTATAGTTTGGTTCGGTTGGATTTTGTTTAACGCCGTACTCAGCAATATTCCAGCTACATGGCGGAGGTCTGTTAATAATCCATTCTGGACCAGACCACCCAGTGATCAACAGCATGAGCATCATTCTACGCAAAGGGGATACGATGAATGTGTCAACCCAGTCAGCGAGCCCCACCACCCGATCCAGTTAGTCGCCTCTTACGACCAGCATGGGTTGCTGAAGATCAGTTCTAACCCGGATCTTCACGACATGTTACAACGATGAACGTATACAGACATTATAGGGATGGTATTTCAAAAGCTGTTAAAGTTTTCGACCACTTAAAATAACAGCATCATTCAAACACCGTTGCCTCGAAGTAACCGCTTTGTACCTCTGTTTGATCTCTTGATCATGGTTGGGTCGAAGCATTTACGTATCTACACAACGATGTTTGAATGTCCTTTAGTAATTTCGAAATGATCTTACATTATATTCCCGGCGATGTTTGCATTTTCCGTCCACGATATCATCGAGTCCAACATCTATTTGACAAAACTAGAAAAGAGAAAGAGATAACCATATAAATAATTCTGATTATCATCATGTTACGGGTTTTCGGGCGCATAAGAAAAGTTATGACACATGCCATTATTGGAGAATTTACTATGTATTTGGAGACGGTGGGGTAGTCTAGTGGTTCAAGCCATCAATGAGTCCCTCTGAGAATCAAGCGTTTCATGTAATCCTCAGACATTTAATATTTTGTATGAGTATGGTTTTACGCCGCTTTTAGCAATGTTCCAGCAACACAGTGGCAGGGGACACCGATGCTGGGCTTCAAACACTCTATACATGCAGAGATGTGAACACTGGCAATGAGGCAACGATTCATCTACTGTGTTACCCAAGCCACAATAGGCTCTCAGGACTGGTTTTGCTGAATGGAGGATGCACAATCACGTCTCTTTCCATTAAATTATAAATATTTTTGTTTGTTAAATCAGTTACCCTGCCTCCACCCGTTTGAGAACTGTTTTTCAGTGAGCCGTGAATGAGTAAAATTTATACTTCCCGCTCTCTTGTTTTAACAGTGTCCTTTCTCGCTATTTGTAATCTCTGGAGACAGAACCGGCTCGATTGTACTTTAAGAGTGCTCAATTCGCTGGAATATTGGTCTACATAAAGAAGATTGAAGTCAACCGTCGTGCCATAAAGGCTTTTGGAAAGTGTTTTGATCCTCTCATCTTTTTTAAACTGACGAGGTGGTCACACAGGTCTTCCATATTTCTAGTTCAGGTGGGTAAACCAGTAGGACCTGGCTATCTGATGTTAATTGAACACCAGGATCTTCTGTACACGTAAAGCTTAATTTGAAACTTTTTGGAAGTTGTCTTCAGTAAGGTCTCCATCGTTTCGGGATTCACCCCACAGTTCGAGGTCAATATGTCTACCTGATGTACTGTTCCAAGTGGCATTACGCCCAAAGTAACCAATTACAAACATGTGGAGGACTCGTGACCAGTTATTTTTCGGCAGCAGTGTATAAACAGTACACAGAATATGTGCACTTTATGCACTTAGGGGCGGTGGGGTAGCCTAGTGGTTAAAGCGTTCGCTCGTCACGTCGAAGACCCGGGTTCGATTCCCCACATAGGTACACTGTGTGAAGCCCATTTCTGGTGTCCCCCGCCGTGATACTGCTGGAATATTGCTAAAACAGCATAAAACCATACTCACTCAATTAATGAGTACCGCGGAGGATCAACCGTTTCCTCGGACATTTAATATTTTCATAATCAACAGCCTTGTAACATATATATTCCATGCACTTTTATGTATGACATATGATAAATTAGAATATTGTGCCTATAAATTCATTCATCATATCATATCTCAAATTGATGTCAATCACTTGATTACTCTATCCAGAATCGATTATTTACTGACCGCAATGCTATAGCTGGAGATATAGTATGACCAGAAATTATTGAGAATTTTAGGAATATGTTTAATCTGATTTCTAGTATAAACAACCTTGACCAGCTATCAAGTGCTTGGTTTCATTCAACAGAGACAACTCCGTTAATCCTTTTTTCATTAGTTTGTGAAGAGTTATCCCCCTTTGTTTACTTGGTAGCAGAAGACATTTTCAGTGATCCTCAGTATGGATGATTTAGAGAAGAGAAAGTTGATTTTAGAGTATTATAACAAGGACATCAGATCAGATCAGCTAAAGTGATTTCAAGTAGAACAGGCATCCCTTTGTCCACTGTTTATCGTGTTTTGGGGGGCGGTGGGGTAGTCTGGTGGTTAAAGCGTTGGCTCGTCACGCCGAAGACCCGGGTTCGAATCCCCACATGGGTACAATGAGTGAAGCTAAAAGCTAAAAGCGGCGTAAAACCAAACTCAGTCAGTCAGTCAGTCAGTCAGTCGTGTTTTGAAAAATATTGCAAATGGATATGGCATTGAGCACCAGAGAGGCGCAGGTAGGCCCAGAAAATTGACTGTCGATGACAGGGGACGGCTTGGTATTCTGGTTTCTAAAAACAAACGAAGGAGTTTAGAAAACTTAAGGC